GTGGGCCAAATGCTTGTTTGTTACCTTTTTAACCTAAAAAAGTAATATTGTAAATAAAGCTTTTGTAGGATATTCTGAAGACATCCGCCGGCATTGAATGTTAATCAACAAAACTAGCCCTATTCTAAGAAGTTAGACTATAATTAGCTATGTCAATTAAAACATAAATTCAGATATGCGTATCTTTATTGCGTACCTATTGTAAGGTATTATTATTAGTACCTATTGTACCGTAGGTGTTTCAATTTGGACAATTAAACAAATTAATATAATCGACTGTTGTAAAAAACCATATATATAAACCATATATTAGCATACTTTATTGAATCAGAAGTAGATATTTTTCCAAAGTTTATTTTTAATTGAAAAAGTTTAAGCGATGTTTTAAAACTTATACTGTGACATGTGTTTAAGTACAGTAGCTCGGGAGATTTAATTACACCTCTTGGTATAAAGGAGTCGATGATAAGTACCATTGCCACGCAATTCACGTGTTGGTTTTACGATTCTCGACTACAGATGGCAGTTTTACTACTTTAATAAAGTTATTTGACCGCAAATACGATAACAACATGATATTAAACATTAATATTGTTTAATAATAATAATTAAAGCATTTGATTTCAGGTTTTTACCTTGATATTTGTAAGTAACTTATTAATATCAATTTGCGAAAATAGTACATTACCCCTAGCACGAACCATTATCGAATTCGAATAGTTTGCAAACCGAAATGTCACTGTCAAATTTTGTATGGAAACTTGAACAGCAGCGGCACAAAGTACGTAACGAGAAATAAAAATCAGTAAACATTTGACAATGACACACAAATCGATGTACACACTATTTTTCTTCGATAAATAGGTAAGTACATATATCAGTTTTTTTGCATAATTATAATTGTTAAAAAATGGTTGCCTGTAAAGTCGGTTTTACGGGCGAAGATTTTACGTGACAACGTCTTTTTCTCGGTAGAATATTTATTGATATGAATATAATTAAATTGCACAATAGGAACAAGGAATTGAATGAAAATAAGAATTGCACAAATTTTAACTATAGAAATATATTTTGTTTACTAAAACATTGTACATGTAAACTTAAACTTAACACGAGAGACTCATCGTAACGTTACCGAGCGTTACACTTTTTCATAAGTGACTCCCAGCCGCAACCTAATTTAAGACGTTGTCACGTCAAAAAGTCGTTTTAGTAGAGCAATGTACTTGCGATTACGAAGTATAGAGTTTAATACGCAATAAAATTTCTTTTCTCATAACTAACAACATGTCTTTTATGTAAAAACTATTGTAATTAATATTACTAAAAATAGCGTGTTAGTTCAACTAAAAAAAATCAATTCTGGCACACCGCATCACAATCTATGGGAAAGTTATTCTTGGAATGAACGATAAGGGACTTCCTTCGATGCCTCTATCTCTTTCGCATATCAAGTAAAGGGCTCAAGTGAAAGGGACGCAATGATGTCGAGGAATGTCCCGTGCGGTTTTATTATTATTCATCGAAAGTTTCACCGGAGTCTGAATAACTCCTTATAAATTATTTAAAGGACATACTTAAAATTAAATGTAATGTTGTGAAGCTTGACAAATGAATGACAAAACGAATGAAACACTTTTTTTTATAAATCTATGTAGTTTCTTTCTACTCAATTTCAACTTAAGTATTTTAAAGAAGATTTGGTGACGACACGAGCCAAATATTCGAACACAGTGTCTGTTTTTTTTGATTATTTAATATTATTGTCATATCATTGCTATACTTAGTTGGATCCGAATTCTAACATATTACTTTTGGATTCGACAAATGATGGGGTTGTAATTTCGTTGATACATATATAAGAAGAAAATAGTTTCAGCTGCAGAATCATCAGAAAATTAAGAACATTATTATAATGTCTATGTCATTTTGTACTAAATTACTGCGTAAGAGATAAGGTACGAAGATGCTGTTTCTATATACAGCTATCATAAACGTAATTCATAATTTAATTTATCCATAGTTTACATATTATAACGATGGAATATTGTGATGAGAATTTTATCATTGAACGTTTTTACAACCAAAACTCGTTTTTCAACGTAATAATGGAGATTATAACAACTAGATTTATATCGCTTCTGTTCGAACAATTTTATAGTAGTCTGTGTTAACTGAATTATATTGAACAATTTCACGGTATTTTTGTCTTGAATTATTTACTTTTGTCTCATTATGTTTAGCCGAAATTGTAAATTAGTTTACTGCTAGAAATGTTGAAATAATTTCAGGTAAAATAAAGCAGGTCAGTAGATATTTGCATTTAAGTGGCTGCGTTTTTCGATGAGAATTTATTAAGAGAATTTCTAATTTGAAATTGTTCAGTTATCAATTAGTTAGGCTTCGGATCTTAATGTATATAAAAATAAAATGGTTACCTATTTGCTGAAATAAGTTCGTCATCAGCCTATTAATGTCCCAGCTGCAGGGGCGCAGGCCTTCCTTATGGATGGAATGGAGAGATTGGGCCGTGACCCAACCCACTCGGGCCCAGTGCGGATTGGTGGGTGCTAACGACTGCAGATGCAGCCGGGACCAACAGCTTAACGTACTTTCCAAAGCAAGATAATAAGTTTCACCCATCCAATGACCGACCATTGCGAAAGTTGCTTAACTTTCACGATCGCAGGTCGAATACTCTAACCAGCTGCGAAATCAAGCTCCATTCCTTCCTTAATTAAATAAATTGATTATAACTAACCAACGAGAATTCAACTCGAGCAAAAAAAAATAACACAGCAATCAAAGGAAGGCCTATAGGCTTACCATATGAGTGGTGTGTTGCTGCCAAGAGATAATTAAGGGAAAATGTAAGATTAATATAAAAGTCAATTCATATAAGGGGTGGCCATACTTTTATTACCTCCGTGTTCTAGCGGACACGTTAAGCCTCGGTGGAATCTGCAGTCGATATACACCTCTTTCGTGGACACCAATAAGTGGGATATGGACGGCCAGTTGTCACTTTGCGCTTCTGTCAACATAGAAAAACTGTGTTCCAGCTGTGGGGAAAATAATTGGCTGTATATAATGCAATTTATGTCTCAATAGTATCTGCACCGTTTGATGGATATTTATATGTACATTTGACAGCAGTATATCCTTATCATGTTCTGTAGGGGATAAAAAAGAGAGACTGCTGTTTTTCAAATAGCAAATACGAATAGTCAAGCGAAGTGCCAACATTAGAAGCTCCACTAACGGTCAACGTCAACACAACATGGAGTGAGCCTTTGTGCTATGTTTTATTCAAAGCATCCTTAGATGATCTACAGACAGTAATCTATGAGAACAGTTATGTTATGATATTAAACAAGTGTTTTATTTAAATCATCCGTTTAACAAATTGCAGGCTTTCCACGGGTCAGCCTTTACTAATATACAGTGGTCTGATGTCTAATATTATGTAACTTTACAACATCAAACGTATCACTAATGAATGATTTATTGATATTTCTTACATAATAGCCAGTAGCTCGGTTTTCAACTTATTATATTTTTTGTATTATTATATACCTACTTAGGTACTAGATACTCTCTCTTGATGATTTATTCGATAAAAGCAATTCATCTTTCATATTTATGTCTTTGAATAAGGTAAGTATAGCCTAGACGCAAAATAAAGAAATAAAAGCAGAGAGCAGTTTTTTAATCGAGTTATAAGCAAAATGTGTTGACTAACAATATTCCTAGCAATAATTCAACAATAACAACAATTATATTGAATGAAAGAAAAAATTAAATTTATAGTAGATAGAAATTGATCAATAGCGCTATACTTCAACCAATCAGCCTTCTACTCCTTTATAATGAGCGATACATTATCATCACTAACCCGACCAAAGTGCCGAAAGAAAATTCCCATAGAAATTGTACTAAAAGCTGTGTATTTTCAACGCGTTCGGTTATTCAGAAAACGATCGTATTTTGAATCTTAATAATTCCGGAGTACAGCCACTTCAAGTTCTGCAAATCGACTACGAACAGTAAATCTTACGTTTGTCTCTTTTTAATGTATGAATGAACGGAGTTTAGAAAGGGATGTAGCAAAAGAGCTTGAGTCTTGCTAGCGGGACATCGACCAGCAGCTTTCAGAAAAACTTCTACGTAGTTGAACAGTGTTGGAACTCACTTATTTCATAACAGTTAGATTCAATGTTAAGATAAAAAGATAATGATGAGAAAATATTTAGTAAGTATTACAAGTTAAATGAGGTCGTTAATATTTGCATTAATTGAGAATTAACCAAATTTTATTTTTTATTTTTTTTTAAGATACAGTATGGTATCGCTTTGATTTATTACTTGGGTATAATAAAACAATTCATATTCCTCAAATAACATTAAAACTTGTTTTAGGTCTTAGCTGTATTATATTTACCATAACACATCTCATTTCAATATTTTTTTTACGATTAATGAAACAAAAAGTGCATCTTTTTCATCTCTAGATAAAACTTAATCGCCTGATGTCGTTTTATACCGAAACGCTGAAAACATTTTGTCATTCATAATTTTTGGTATGGTGGATGTAATTTATTTCTTTCGATGGAGAATTTTATTATGTGAAAGTTACTATAATTATAATTAATTGACGAGAGTCAGACTTATGCTTGTATTATAACTGTTGCTAATAATAATTAGTTTGTTTTATACACAATCACTATAAAACTTGACAAAACTGAACCAAAGAAGCTGAGTAAAAGTTTTTAAAAAGCTGTATTACTTTACGAGTTACACCACTGCGTACCTCAGGTTACTTGCCCCGTGGACATCGACAAAAACCGTGCAGCCTTCGGGTGCGTGTGTGCGTGCGTTCCACAGGCACACACACAGGCGCGCGTGCATACCGGGCGCCGCAAGCGCAGGAGAAACCGTGCGTTTTGCATTCAACACTCAGTTGTAAAGCCACATTTGGGGTCATCAAACGCTATATAGCAAAACGCGGACCTCTTTCGATAACACTAATAAAAGAAGGAAATATAAATCCTCTACATTTTTACGATTAAATTCTCGAGTTAGAAACCTTTTTCGAGTGTCAGTGTAGCTGTGAAACAGTGTGAAGTGAAACTTTCGAGTGCTTTGGTGAAATGGAATTTATCAGTTTCTCGGATATGGGATTATTCAGCTGAAGATGTGGGAAACCCTTTGCTACGGAAAGTCTGTCAGGAAAAAGGGGCCTGGTTTATAGGTGAGCTGCACTTATTTATTATGACGTAGACTTTATAGTCAAACTCGAGTTGGTATTTCGATAAATTTATCGGAGTCCGTTATGTCAAATAACAGAGACAAGTTTCTTTTATGGCTCGTTATTCTCGTAAGTGCTTGGGAGCTTTTTGTCAAGAGCCTTCGAGACGGGTAAATACTTAGTGTTGGCAACAGACATTGGCCACCAGTCATTTTACATGTTTTAGAATTTTCATTTTTATACTAACTTGATGATGCAAACATTGTGTTTCCTACTTGATGTGTGCTTATTATATGTAATCATTGATTTAACTTAAAAAGAACTTTAATTATTTATATTACGCCCAGTACAGTCGCGTCCCTAACACTGAAATTTGAAATCTAAAGAAAATATAACTAGAAAAAATTCCGCAGCTATATGCTTAAAAAATAAAAATTATAAATGGAAGTTGAGTTTGCAGCGTTTTATGTACAAATGAAATAAATATATAAAATATGTTAGATTATTGTTCAGGAATTGCACAATTTTTTAAAATACGACGTTTTATTCAATCAACAACGGTGTAAGAAACTTTGTAAGTAGATGTATGGAAAAAATATAACATAAATATACGGATTATCATAAACGTTTAAAATGTTGGTATTGGTACGATTATTTCAAAAGGCCAGATTTATTCCTTTATTCTCAGCAGTTTCATGTAGCTAGTTCCACATGGAACTATTGCTATTCACTAGTTTTATGTACGGAACTAGTAGGAGTATTACCCAACTGTATTGTATTTATTTCCAGTCGTTCGATATAAAGAAAAAAATAAAATAATTCTGCTCATAAATCCTTTTTACTCATTTGCTGTCAATAACTAATTCATGGGAGGATCAAAAATACATTTTAGGTATCCTCGCTAGAATAGAAAAAATCTTTGAGGTATAAGACCAGAATTGATGCAAAATATATAAAAAGAACCTAGCAGTAAAATCATATAGCAGAAATTATAATTGTGTGGCAGAGCTTTTATTTTCTAAAAAATATTTAAAATATTCTGTCATTCAGTAGTACCTACTGTTCAATCCACTTGAATAAAATAACATTGCTTTAAATGTTTTGTAAAAGCCTGTGCTTTTATCTACATAGCGCTATGGTCTTTTTTTCTACACAAAATGAAAGCCTATTCCTATTAAAAGTACTCGACTACTTTGACACTTCCTATCTATAAAGCTGAAAAAGCTTGTTTGTTTAAGCGCGCTAATTTCAGGAACTAACTAGTCCGATTGGAAATATTATTTGAAAGTGAATTTATCGAGGAAGATAGTATGCTAATAACATTAGGATACGAACAATTGGAGCGGAGCACCAATGAAAAATGTTGCAAAAACGGGATAATATTTTTGAAGTGAAAACTTCTTCAGCGGCGTTCTACACTTTTTTTTGTTTGGGTAAAAATGTTAAACTCGCGTCAGGACACGTGGCCTGGTCAGGGATCTGACGAAAACAATAAAATTGGAAAGGTTGTTGACTTTCAATATATTGGACGAAACATAGCAATATTTTATTTTATCGTATTATAATAATAAGTCTCTAGCTAGGACGTCCAGGTGGCAGCTTTATTGCGTAAAAATGCTTTTTTTTACAATAGATGTCGGTAGGTGCGCTTAAATATGAGTCATGTAAGTTGATTTTTCTGAGAGACAAACTTTTGTAATATTGTATAAATTGTCATGTTTGTGTACGATATCGCAATAAATAAATATTGTATTCTATCACATAGATGATAGTATTTTTATACCGATAATTAAAGCAATTCGTGCAAAATTATTCCCTAATCATTCCAAAATATCAAAAATGCACAACGTTATTATTCAAGTTTTCACTTTTGCCGGCACTCCTGGAGTGCAACCCGTCGTTATTTTTGAGAGCTACCGTTGCGTGCGCTGAGTAAATGGCAAGAGTTACACAAAAATAAATTAAAAGTTCTAAAAAAGTCCGTGACTGCATTAAAATTATGTCTAACTATAACCTTTTTCCTTAAGATTAATGCGGATGAAATCGCAGGGCACCTCTAGTTTAATATAATAGAATGTAAGAGGATGGAATTTGTTGTGTCTCCGTTGGCCACTTAAAATACTATAGAGATTATACAATATTTGCAAGTGGAAGAAATTGTGATGTATGTATTTATATTGTATAGACACAGGTAGAGTAGGTATGTACCTATAATGTTAAACTTAACGTCTTTGTATATTGTTGGGGATTTAGCGATTTCTTATGCAATGTAGCCGACGGCTATAAGCAAGGATGTGGGTTGACCATGAAATCGCTGACAAAAGCGTATACCTTCACAAGGTAAATGTTCAACATAGCCTCCCATCTTTTGCTAATTCAAAAAGCAGAGGTGCATGAGTAACATGAATGGTAAATGAACTTTTCTAAGCTAATATTGTCTTTTGTCTTGTTGTACGTAGTTCTGAATTTTCATAACATGAGCGCTATAATAGGCCAGGGCCGATAATTTTTGAGATAAAAACAAAAGAACCTATTTAAATGGGAAGAGAACGCATTTAAAAACGAGGAAGAATAATTTTCGGTCGACTTGAGCTCGGCATGGATAGGGGGGGGTGACCTTTTAAGGGAGAAAACGGTTTGTCGCGATTTTGGGGAAAGCTACAATTTTTATCGAAAAAAAAATTAATGACAAAGTTGTAAGTGATTAGAAGATCTACAACAACATTGGATTTACACTTTTTTCACAAAACCAAAAAATATCTGCGAATTATTAAAAATAAGCGTCTTTTTGATTTTTTATAAACAAATAACTTTTTTTTCACAAGATTTGTTAAAAACATATTATATACAACATTTATATCTTTAACACGCTCTAATTCTTTTCATTCAAAATATTTATTTGTACTCCTTATTTTGATATTATATAAAAAAGTACTTAATCTTACTATAAATAAAAAAAAATCCGTAGAAAAGTTGTTAAAAATTATGCCTTTTTTGATCGTTGAAAAATTTTTTTGAATTGTAGGTACTTATACAAGAAAATAACAGCAAAACAAACAAAATTTTCGCACAAAATACAAAAACATCGTCGTCAACGTTTGTTCACTTACCTGGTTGCTAATTTATAGTTTAAAGTCGGTTATTATGATTTTCGCTGCTATTGTCAGATACCAACATATGAACCGCCCGATATGTGTATGATATATAGAAGCCTGTATGCATCCTGAGCCCTTACCCTATTTCGTGAAGCTAAAAAACAATGCCCTCTACCCAGAAAAGGGAGAACTTAAACAAAAAAAAAACAATGCCCTTTTGCTGCAGCTTTCTGTAGTGAATGTACACCAGGGACACAATAATTCTGTAACATAACTCTAGGTTAGATCAAAGTGTCCTATATTGTTCAATACAATAGGCAGTGACGTAACATTTTAATAAAAAAAATCGTTCTACATTCCATGTGTTGTACGTTGCGGCCTCGTTAGTATTCTCAATGTAACAAAGATGGATTAATTACAATAGACAGTTATCGTTATAACAACGGAATAATAAGGTTGTTTGGGTGTCGTACTGAGCTTGTGAATCTGTATAAAAATTTAAGCAAACTTGATATCTTGCTTATAGGAATCGGAAATTCTATATAAATACAGATACATATAGTGCAGAACTGCAGCGGCCCCAGCAGGTCAGAGGCATTGATGGACGAACTTAAACGTTCGTTCTTCAATGGCTGTACCCATTGAAGAACGAACGACGAAACGACCCAATGTGTAGGCACAAATTATTATTTTAAAATACAATTAATACCCCCGTACACTGAATAGCAGGCACGTGTGTAGAGACAAGCCGATATTGCACCGACCGCCGTGCACCCTAGATTGTCCCTGCGGCAGGGATGTCAGTAGGCCGCTTTACACTACTTTTAAAATCAATGACGATAACGAACAAAAATAATCATTCATTTGTGTTTTTTTTCAATAAACAGATTTCTGTTGCAGGACAGTTCGAAATTTAAATAAAACCTTGGTTGCCATGTTTTGGATTAAAAGATTGTTCCATTAATTTTAAATTACACAGAAATCAGTTGATGTAAGTAATTTATTTGCCCGTAAACCGGATAGATACGGATTTTCATAAAACTTTTGCTGGCCGCTGCTCGCATGTATGTGGCCAGTACAGCATTTATATCGAAGAAGGTTGTCAGAATAATGCTCTCCAAATTTCCAAGCATGTTTTACAAACAACATTACGAAATGAAGATTAATACATAATTCGAAAAGCAATAAAAATACCCAAAATTATCTTTTACTCTGTGTTATCGTCATAATATTCCATTTTCATACGTGCTCAGAAATAGCATTTCATTATTTTATGCTTAACAAACTTCTCATATTGTTGACAGCTTGTTCCAGTTTCACTAATACAACATCTTATTAATACTTAGCCTACTATGATATCAGTTGCTTTTCATACGCCAATCTAGTATTAATTACCATATTTGAAGCTTGATAGCACGCTAGCACAGTCATTCATTAGCTTTATTTTCTCACACTTAGTGCTTAGACAGGAACTTTCTAGTAGAAGCTTGATAGTGGTCTGAGCCGGTTCATAAAAGTCTCAATCTGATCAGCAGGACTGATGTTTACATTCAGCCTAATAAAGTAAGTAGACATATAGAAGTTGTGCACGAGCCTATTGGTACTATCAGTAACTTGGTTCTTGTTTGGGAGTTACTTTTCTGTTTAAAGTTTGATTTACCGTTTGTATTTTATCGTTTCCGCACATAAAATAAACTTTATCGTTGTCATAGAATATAATAACTTTTTTTTTAAAATTAGGTAATAATAATAATATAATAATAACTTTATTTCTCTAACATTGGTTACATTTGATACAAGTGATTGAACGCACTTATTAGGAAATAATACCTGTGACAGGTGACTCGACCATTCGACGTGACTTCCATACTTAAAATTACAGTTCGCTTATCCAAATTTATTTTTATT